TCGGCTCCACAATTGATAGGGCTTTCGGTTAGGACAGGTAGAGGAAAAAGGACATCGCGCTAGGAAGATATTCCTAGCGCGGATAGAGCCTTGGTAGTACAGTGGTTTAAAGCACCCTGTTATTAAGACCAGCTGCCTGCAATTACTGCAGGTTCGAATCTCGCCAGGCTCAAGGTTGACTCAGCCTTCCATGCTTTCTAAGGTAGGTAAATTGAGGACCCAGTTTGTGGGGGCAATAAGCTGACTTTGTATAAATATACAAAAGTATGAAGGCTATTGCTTAACGCATTGTAAGCCCCCCTGAGTCTCCGGAGAAGGGCGGCATATAAATCAAATAAAAAAAAAAAAATTCTATGGGGGGGGGAACTGGACTTCCGGCCAGCTCCAGAATTAAACAGGGGGCTTCCGGTTAGGACCTTTGTGGCTCTTTTGAGTGTTTTAAGGTTGCCGACCCCTGTCCTAGGATAATATGAAGTAAAACTAGGATAAGAATACAAGTAGACCTTGAGATACGACCACAATCGAATCTGCGTTTTACAGGTTACAACACCTCAACTTACAACACTTCATTTACTGACCATTCAAAGTTATGACAGCACTGAAAAAAGTGACTTAGGACCATTTTTCACAGTTGCAACCTTTGTGCCATCCCCGTGGTCATGGAATCAAAATTCAAACGCTTGTCAACCGGCTCATACTCATGACTGTTGCTGTGCAACCTATTGACAAGCAAAGTTGCTGAATATGTCTAGTTTAATGAAGAGAAGGACCGGGGGAGACATGATAGCAGTCTTCCAATATTTGAAGGGCTGCCCCAAAGAAGAGGGAGTCAAGCTATTCTCCAAAGCATCTGAGGGCAGGACAAGAAGCAATGGGTGGAAACTCATCAAGGAGAGAAGCAACCTAGAACTAAGGAGGAGTTTCCTGACAGTTAGAACAATTAACCAGTGGAACAACTTGCCACCAGAAGTTGTAAATGCTCCAACACTGGAAGTTTTTAAGAGGAGATTGGACAACCGTTTGTCCACAATGGTATAGGCCAGGGTTTCCTGCCTGAGCAGGGGGCTGGACTAGAAGACCTCCAAGGTCCCTTCCTGCTCCTATTCTGATTGGTCTATAAAATCTCCACAAGCAGCCCTCTGGGAAGACAGCAAAACAATTTACCCTGCAACGGATCATTAGATTAATTTCACCTCTGGAGAGATATTTTAACTATTTCGAGAAGCAGATCTGGCACCTTACCACGGGGGCATACAATGCGTAATAATTAAGGTGCCTGCCAGTCTATGCATCGGGTTTTTTTATGGGGCCTTTGGGTAAGAATGGATAGGAAAGAAAAGCCTAATGGCCCATCGAAACAACCTCTGAAGCACAATAAATACAATCTGGCTATAAAGACACGGCACATTTGACCTTAGCAATCAATTGGGTTACGTATTGATCACCCAGATCCTAATAGAGAATAAAAGTGAGGATGTAGATTGTTAAATAGAAATTCTATTACTCTAGATATATAGGGCTGTTGTTCCCGAACGAGACAGCCAAGGAAACGAAGTTAAGGCCTTAATTGTAGGGAAAAAGACCGGAGGATGAGATATATAACTCCAGCAATTTTATTTATCTGGCCAAGTTCTTGCAAAAAAAAAAGCCCACCCACAAATCGTTTGACTCAAATTGATGGGCTGAACATCTAAGCAGGCAATTCCTATTTAGCTGAGGCGGATGAATCATTTACAAATAAACCTTTAGGAAGTCAAAGCAAGCACGCAATTATTCCGAGTCTGGTTAAGGTCAGCCGTATTACCGTGCGTGGTGAGCAGAAAACCTGATTTTTCTAATGACAAGATTCTGAAGACGATACAAGGAGCTCCAACAAGACGAGGTTTGAGACATTAGAGGCGAAACTGTGGTGAACGGACATTTCCTTGTTGTACTAATGTCCAGAATAAGGCTGGCGTGAACTAAATGCCCATTGGCTTAGAACGATCCGCACTAGGAACCGAAGGCTGGACAATCATCGGAATCAAAAAATATCCTATGATATCTCAAACGGAACAGAATAACAGTCGGAAGGGACCTTGGAGGTCTTCTAGTCCAACCCCCTGCTTAGGCAGGAAAACCTACACCACTTTGGACCAGGGGTGGGTTCTAAAATTTTTTACTACTGGTTCTGTGGGTGTGGCTTATTTTGTGGGCGTGGCTTGATGGTCATGTGACAATTCTTTAGGATTTAGCAGAGGTACTGGTCTACCAGGTATTTAACTGCTTGCAGAGCTGTATCGGTCTACCCATTTATTTTTGCAGGCACCGGTCTACTCATTTGTTTTTGGAGGCACCGGTCTACTCATTTGTTTTTGTAGGTACCGGTCTACCACCAAACTGCCTTTTACCACTGATCAGCTGTAGGGCGGCCCTTTGAAGCCCCACGGCAAGAGTTTAAACAGTTTTTTTCTTCATAGCCCATCAGCTGGGACTCAGGAGGCAGCAATAGATTGGGGGTGGGGCCAAATAAAAGGTAAGAAAAACGCGGGGGTTGGGGGGGCCGGGGGGCCAGAACCGATTCGGTGACATCATATCATCACCGCTACCGGCTCGGCGGAACCGGGCCAAACCGGGAGGAACCCACCACCACTTCAGACAAATGGTTATCCAACATCTTAAAAACTTCCAGTGTTGGAGCATTTACAACTTCTGGTGGCAAGTCGTTCCACTGGTTAATTGTTCTCACTGTCAGAAAATTTCTCCTTAGTTCTAGGTTGCTTCTCTCCTTGATTAGTTTCCATCCGTTGCTTCTTGTCCTGCCTTCAGGTGCTTTGGAGAATAGCTTGACTGCCTCTTCTTTGGGGCAGCCCCTCAAATACTGGAAGACTGCTATCATGTCTCCCCTGGTCCTTCTCTTCATTAAACTAGACATATTCAGCAACTTTGCTTGTCAATAGGTTGCACAGCAACAGTCATGAGTATGAGCCGGTTGACAAGCATTTGAATTTTGATTCCATGACCACGGGGATGGCACAAAGGTTGCAACTGTGAAAAATGGTCCTAAGTCACTTTTTTCAGTGCTGTCATAACTTTGAACGGTCATTAAATGAAGTGTTGTAAATTGAGGTGTTGTAACCTGTAAAACGCAGATTCGATTGTGGTCGTATCTCAAGGTCTACTTGTATTCTTATCCTCGTTTTAAACTAGACCAGTGATGGCTAACCTTTTTCCCATCGCGTGCCAGGAAGGGGGTGGGGTCGCACACGCATGTGCCCACACCCATAATTCTATGTGCTCCACCCCCACGCATGCACGTGTGAGCCCCCTCCCCCCGCTCCTGACACGCGATGGCCTGGTAGGCCCATTTTTCTTTCTCACCTGGCTCCAGGGCCTCTCTAGGAGTCTGGGGAGGGCAAAAACAACCTTCCCCACCCCCCCTGGAAGTCCTCCGGAGGCCGAAAACGGGCCGTTTGACAACTTCCGGTCCCACCGGAGCTGAGCTCGTGTGCCCACTGATATGGCTACGCGTGCCACAGGTTCACCATCACAAGACTAGACCTACCCAATTCCTGCAACCATTGGGTCATGCAATTCAACTTTTGCAGTGGGCAAAGAAGACCGATTCAAGATCCATCAGAGACGACTTATTATTAACAGAATAACAGAGTTGGAGGGTAGTCCAACCCCTCCTGCTTAAGCAGGAAATCCTTTGGAGCACCCCAACTTCTGGAGGCAAGTTGTTCCACTGGGACAATAGGAAGTTTCTCCTTAATTCCAGGTTGCTTCTCTCCTTGATGAATTTCCATCCATTCGTTCTTGTCCTGCCCTCTAGTGCTTTGGAAAATAAATTGACCCCCTCTTCTTTGGGGCAGCCCCTCAAATAGTGGACCAGAGAGGTGTGAATTGTGCGTCTCTGGGAAAATCTCAGCAAAGGTCTAATGGAAGGAAGAAAGCTCCCATGAATTTATTGCTTTAGAGGACACCTCATGCTTTAAGTCAGAATTTGAGAATATACCTATAAACAAACTTTCTTTACCATAACGATATTGTCAGATATTGTCAGACGCGAAAGATCAGGTCCACATATGAAGGTCCAATTAAACCAGTTTATTGCTAAAAGCCTATGCGTAGGAATCTTCTCAACTGACTAGGGTTAGATAAAGGCCAAAGGCAGTCCGTTGAGGGTGGACTTGGTTCGTTTGTGGCTACGTAAGGATGCCAGGCTGATCCCTCTTTTAACTCCACCTCCAGGTTCTGCCGCTCCTTCTCCTAAATCATTGCAGTAGATCAGATTTTTAAGTGGAGTCCAAGGCTGAAATATGGAAACCAAGATGTCTCTCAAAGGGGTGAATTTAGAGATAGCTTTGGAGTTCATGTCCATAATAGCAGTCAGAGACCTGATTCAGTTTACTGGGGGCCCAATCCAGAGCAAAGATCTCTCCCTCCCTTCTTCCCTTCCTCCCTCCCTTCCTTATATTTCTAAATCACCCATCACCCTCAAAGATGCATGACCCAAAAAATGAAATTGATTAATAGAAGAACAGTTCCATAAGCTGGTTGCATGCAACATTGTCTGAAATGGTGTATAGGGTTTCCTATATACCATTTACGTTTTAAGCAGAGGGTTGGACTAGAAGATCTCCAAGGTCCCTTGCATCTTCTCTTCTCTTCTCTTCTCTTCTCTTCTCTTCTCTTCTCTTCTCTTCTCTTCTCTTCCCTCTCCTCCCCTCCCCTCCCTTCCCTTCCCTCCTATCCTCTCCCCCTCCCTTCCCTTCCCCTCCCCTCCCCTCCCCTACTCTATTCTATTCTTCATTATTCTATTCATTGTTCTATTCTTCATTATTCTACTCTATTCTACTCGATTCTACTCGATTCTACTCTACTCTACTCTACTCTACTCTACTCTACTCTACTCTACTCTACTCTACTCTACTCTACTCTCTCCTCTGCTCCCCTCCTCTCCCCTCCTCTCCTCTCAACATGTATTTATTTTGTTTCCCTCCATTTCTTAATTCCAGTCAATGAAGAAGAACTAAAGAAAAGAATAGCTGAAGAATTGGCCTTGGAACAAGCTAGGCGAGAGGCTGAAGCTCAGAAAAGGTAAATTTATTTATTTATTTTCTCAGTTTTGTGGGGAAATCTGTGACTCTGGATACCAAGGTTGAAATAACGTCGGTGCTCATAAACTAGAAAAGCAAATGAGTGGAAACAGTTGGGAATTTGGGAGCTTGGATTCCAACACAGCTGGTGCACTCCACTTTGAAAGGATTTTGCTACTATTTCTTTTGGAAAAATGAGCTTTATTTCACATTTCTTTAGGCTGGCTGCTATGTATGAAAGCGAGGTGAAAACAGTTTTATACATCCTGACAGTGCCATCCAGCATGCATCTCTGTTCTTTGTTTTCGAAGATCTTTCATTACATATAAACAAATTATTTAATAACTTGCTTATTTAGTATCCATAACTATCACTAAGTGTTGTATCTAATGTTTTATGATGAATGTATTTTTACAATGACTATGATAAAAGGATGCGGTGGCTCAGTGGCTAGGATACTGAGCTTGTCGATCGAAAGGTTGGCAGTTCAGCGGTTCGAATCCCTAGTGCCGCTTAATGGGGTGAGCTCCCGTGACCTGACCCAACTTCTTCCAACCTAGCAGTTTGAAAGCAGGTAAAAAATGCAAGTAGAAAAATAGGGACCACCTTTGGTGGGAAGGTAACGGCGTTCCGTGCGCCTTTGGCGTTTAGTCATGCCAGCCACATGACCACGGCGATGTCTTCGGACAGCGCTGGCTCTTCGGCTTTGAAATGGAGATGAGCACCACCCCCTACAGTTGGGAACGACTAGCACATATGTGCAAGGGGAACCTTTACCTTTACCTTATGATAATGGTCTATCTCTATTGTTGTAAGTACACTGAGAGCTTATGCACCAGAGACAATTTCCTGGTGTGTTTAATCACACTTGGCCAATAAAGAATTCTAATTCTAATTCTAATTCTAATTCTAATTCTAATTCTAATTCTAATTCTAATTTCTAATTCTAATTCTAATTCTAATTCTAATTCTAATTCTAATTCTCCATTCCGTTCTTCTTCTCTTCTCTTCTCTTCTCTTCTCTTCTCTTCTCTTCTCTTCTCTTCTCTCCTCTCCTCTCCTCTCCTCTCCTCTCCTCTCCTCTCCTCTCCATTCCATTCCATTCCATTCCATTCCATTCCATTCTTATTGTTCTATTCTATTCTATTCTATTCTATTCTATTCTATTCTATTCTATTCCTATCCTATCCTATCCTATCCTATCCTATCCTATCCTATCCTATCCTATCCTATCCTATCCTATCCTATTCTGATCCTTCAGAATTTTACTGGTGTGACTCTACGTCAAATCGGTAAAATTCCCTGCGTACTTTTCGAAAGCAGGATGATGCTTGTCACCTTCCCTTCTGCGCTCTCCTGAGAACGAGTGAAGTCCATTTTCTTAACCTGCCCATACTGTGATGTGGATTTTTGCCACCTTAAAATCGATAAGACGTCGTTATTTGACTTTCATCAAGACACGTTTTTGCAAGCTCATTATTTTGCATTTATTAAAAACCTTGTAATTGACATTGCTTCAAGTCGCATGTGACTATTGCTTCTCTCTCTCTCTCTCTCTCTCTCTTTTAACACTGCATTATGATGGAATTAACCGCAGAGGTTTAAACAAACCATCCCCGTAGACTTCAGAGAAACGTATACCCAGAAATGTGTTTATAGGATTTCCATCTAAATTAAGCTAATGTCATACCAAATTGAACATAAACACAAACCAAAAGCCCTTTACCGGACTAAAATATGCCTCTTTGAGGAGTAAAACAAATTTATGTGTTATGCTGAAATTACAGCTCTTTGAAATATTATGGCTGGTCTTAATTGATTTTTGGTTCTTACGAGGAAATGTGCTTACTCTTTCTGTGTTCGTGTTAATGTAATTAATGTTAGCAGTTTAAAATGGAACAATTTATTATGCACTTTGATTATTCCTCCTGTACCAATAATATTAAGCGGTTCCTTGTTCGTAGGGGCTTTCTGGTTCAGGTTTTATTCTATTTACCGGTAATGTACTCTGCGAACCTCCATTATATGAAACCATGAGTTAGGTAGGCTTCTTAATCTTCTCCTTCCTGATGTGCTGCCAAGGTTATCCAGGATTCCTGTTCCCTGTGAATTCACATTCACACCCATCCGCATTCCAGCACTGATGATGTTACCTAGTTGGGTCATGAAACGTCTGCAAGCTCAGAGAGCACCAAGGACCCATGGAATTCACATCTGCTGGGATCTATTTCTCTTAGGGAAGTGCAACTGAGAAGTCCCACAATTCCCCAGCCAGCCATGTTTGAATTCCCCAGCCAACTTGAAGACTTGTGAACTTCAATTTGAAGACTTGTGGACTTCAGCTTGAAGACTTGTGGACTTCAACTTGAAGACTTGTGGACTTCAACTCTCAGAATTCCCCAGCCAGCCATGTTTGAATTCCCCAGCCAATTTGAAGACTTATGAACTCAACTTGAAGACTTGTGGACTTCAACTTGAAGACTTGTGGACTTCAACTTGAAGACTTGTGGACTTCAACTTGAAGACTTGTGGACTTCAACTTGAAGACTTGTGGACTTCAACTTGAAGATTTGAACTTGAAGACCTGAAGACTTGTGGACTTCAACTTGAAGACTTGTGGACTTCAACTCCCAGAAATTCCCCAGCCAGCCATGTTTGAATTCCCCAGCCAATTTGAAGACTTGTGAACTCAAGTTGAAGACTTGTGGACTTCAACTTGAAGACTTGTGGACTTCAACTTGAAGACTTGTGGACTTCAACTTGAAGATTTCAACTTAAAGATTTGTGGACTTCAACTCCCAGAATTCCCCAGCCAGCCATGTTTGAATTCCCCAGACAATTTGAAGACTTGGGGACTTACAGGGCTGGCTGGGGAATTCTGGGAGTTGAAGTCCACAAGTCCGCAATCCTCAATGTTGCCAAGGTTGGACAACCATGTTTTAAAGAAACAACCACAGCACAACACATTAATCAGTGGAATGACTTGCCTCCAGAAGTTGTGAATGCTCCAACACTGGAAGTTTTTAAGAAGAGACTGGACAACCTTTTGTCTGAAAGGGCATAGAGTTTCCTGCCTAAGCAGGGGGTTGGACTAGAAGACCTCCAAGGTTCCTTCCAACTCTCTTATTCTATTTTAAAACCTAGGACTTGTAGCCTTCTGTTGGACTGTAATTCTTCGGGGCCTACGAGATATTTTGAAGCTCTCCATAAAGAGGCTGTAATTCAGCGGAGAAATAAATATTTGCACGAACATCCCTCTTTGTTCAGCATTAGCAGTGTTTTATACGATGATATTTGGGTGAAGGAATTGAAACTTGGCAGAGCCGTACTCCGCCCGGCGTTGGCATCCTTATAATACGTTCAGCGAGTAGAGAAATTTACACAGGCTTTCGGGTTTAAACAGCTTGATTCCGAAAGACGGCTTTAAAAGGGAACCTTTTGTACTGTGTAAGAGAGAAAAGGGGAGAGGGAAGGAAAAAAAAAAAAAAACCCACCACCCAGACATGGAAAATAGATTTGCAGGGATTATCTCCATTTTGCACTTTGCAGAATTTAACCAGAGGTTTTTCTCTCCCCCCCCCCTCTCTTTTTCTTGACAGCCATTTTGTAAAGGCTTTGTATGGATCTAATTCTCTTTTTCACAGTAGATTATTCAGTCGCTCTTCCCTTCTTTTTTTTTTTTTGAGGGTTTTCTCCCCCTGTTTGCTGGGTATGTATGTTTCAGCAAACGCTTCTGTGGGTGGTATCCATAAAATTTGGAATTATAGTATACATCTGTGTCTGTCTGTCTGTCTGTCTGTCCCTTTCTGTTTCTCTCTTTCTCACTCTTTTTCTTTCTCTCTCTGTCTCTTCCTTTCTTTTTCTCGCCCCACTTTCTCTCTCCTTCTCCCCTCTCCCTCCCTCTCTCTTCTCTCTCTCTCTTTTTCTCTCTTTTTTCTCCCCACTCTCTCCTTCTCTCTTTTTCCCTCCTCTCTCCCTCTCTCCCACTTTCTCTTTCTCTCTTTCTTTTCCCCTCTTCTCTCTCCCTCTCTCCCTCTCTCTTTCTCTCTTTTTCTCTCCTACTTCCCCTTCTCTTTTCCCCCTTCTCTCTCTCTTTTTCCCTCCTCTCTCTCCCTCTCTCCCTCTCTCTCTTTCTCTTTTTTCTCTCCCCCTCTCCCTCTCTCTTTCTTTTCCCTCCTCTCTCCCTTTCTCTTTCTCTCTTTCTTTTCCCTCCTCTCTCTCCCTCTCCCTCTTTCTCTTCCCCCCTCTCCCCCTTCTCTTTTTCTCCCTCTTCTCTCTCTCTCTTTTCCCTCCTCTCTCCCTCTCCCCTTCTCTTTTTCTCCCCCCTTCTCTCTCTTTCTTTTTCCCTCCTCTCTCTTCCTCTCTCCCTCTCCCTTTCTCTTTTTTCTCTCCCCCCTCTCCCTCCCCCTTCTCTTTTTCTCCCCCCTTCTCCCTCTCTTTCTTTTTCCCTCCTCTCTCTTCCTCTCTCCCTCTTTCCCTCTCTCTCTTTTTCTCTCCCCCCTCTCCCTCTCCCCCCTTCTCTTTTTCTCCCCCCTTCTCTCTCTCTCTCTCTCTTTTTCCTTCCATAAGCTTTGTAAGAAATTCCGTCTGTTCGTGAACCTTCTCTGCTTCTCTGGAAACAAACGGCTTCCCTTCTTCAGTATCGGGTGGTGGAATAGATCTTTGCATTTAATTGATGCTAGCGTTTTATTTAGCGTTTGGTTCATTAGGTTACAGCAGTGCAGCTTATGGGATGGGGCTGCGAAGTTCAGTAGGCCTCCTTTTTTTAATATCTTTGCCAGGATTTTACAAGGTACCTTCAGAAGCATCTGAAAGAGATGCTCAGCTCTACATGCTGGAGCCATGTTTTCCAATCTCGGCCGTTTTCCTGGGTCATGAAACCTTTGCAAGAAGACCACCAAACTCAGAGAACACCAAATATCCCACAGTCCTCCTCCTCCTCTTCCTCTTCCTCCTCCTCCTCCTCCTCGCCATAAACCCCACTTCCTTCCAGCTTTGATG